CGAAGCCAGAATTTCCTCTCTTGATTCTCATCTCTCACATCCTAATGGAATTGTAGAGAAAACAGAGTTGAACTAAAACTTTAAGCTGAATGTTCTTTGAGGAATTAAATCAAACACCTGCTGTGCATAAACAATTTTAGCAAGTGAAAGAAATTGAAAGACAGTAAACTCAAGCCAATTTGGAAGAGGAAAACAATGCTTCTAAATTATCACTTTCAACAGATAAAAAACACATACAAAATAATCAGAACTGTGCAACTGAAATTAACAATAAAATAGCACCACTAAGCCACTAAAGCCACTAAACTACAAATAAGACATGCACTGCTAAAAATAAGAAACTCAACTGCACGTACCCAATAACTTCCTAAAGAATAGGAAAATAAAACAGATAATGGAAGACTTATTCAACAAACCCTCCCTTAAACTAAACTTTGTATCAAAGTTCAGTTTAATGAATTCTCTAACACACAAACACCAAGCAACTTCCTTTGTTTCTAAAATGCTGACAACTTGAGAGGTTTGGTAAAAATATCAGCAAGCTAGTCTTCACTTCTGCAATAGACAATATCAATGACTCCTTCTTTCACAAGATCCCTCAAGAAATAATTCCTCACATATATATGTTTGCATCTTCCATGAAGAATTGGATTCTTGGACAACTTAATTGTTGAGTTATTGTCACAGAAAATAATAAGAGGTTCCTCTTGCTTGAAATGACATTCTTCAAGAATTCTCAGCAACCATATTGCTTGGCAAGCACATGAAGTTGCTGCTACAAATTCAGCTTCAGTTGTTGATAAAGTCACAATCGGTTACTTTCTTGATGACCATGAAACAGCTGTTGTACCCATCATAAAAACATAACCAGATGTGCTTTTTCTATCATCAACATCCCTTGCAAAATCACTATCTGTAAAGCCAAACATGTCTGACTTTTCTCCTTTCTTATAAAATAGACCATACTCAACCGTACCTTTCAAGTACCTGAGAATTCTTTTTGCTGCCAAGAGATGCATTTCTTTTGGACTTTCCATGTATCTGCTGATAAGGCTCACAGCATGCATGATATCTGGCCTTGTAGTAGTTAAATACATCAAACTTCCCACTATTTGCTTGTACAAAGTGCTGTTGACTTTCATCCCTTCAGGATTTTTAGCAAGCTTCATTCCTGCATCAATTGGTGTGCTGACAGGATTGCATTCCTTCATTCTAAACCTGTCCAAAATGTCTTGAACATACTTTTTCTGAGAAATAAAGATACCAGCAGCAGATTGATCAACTTCTATGCCAAGATAATAATGCATCAAACCAAGATCAGACATGTCAAATTCAGCCATCATAGACTTCTTAAATTTATCAAACATAGCCTTGTCATTTCTAGTATAGATCAAGTCATCCACATACAAGCAAACAATGAGCATTTTCCCACCTTCTGTTTTTGTAAAGAGTGTATGCTCATAAGGGCATTTTTGAAATCCCTCCTTCAAAAAATATGCTTCAATACGACTATACCAAGCCCGTGGGGCTTGTTTTAGTCCATACAATGCCCTTTTTAATTTATACACTTTATGCTCATTTCCAACCTTAACATAACCAGGGGGTTGTTCAATAAATACCTGTTCATCCAAGTCTCCATGCAAGAAGGCTGATTTTACATCAAGTTGAAAAACAGGCCATGAGTTTTGTGCTGCTAAAGAGATCACCAATCTGATTGTATCATGCCTCACAACCGGAGCAAATACTTCTTGATAATCAACCCCAAACTCCTGCTTGTAGCCTTTAGCAACTAGGCATGCCTTATACTTGTCAACTTCTCCATTCTCTTTCAACTTTGTCTTGTACACCCATTTCACACCAATGGTCTTCTTGCCTTTCGGAAGCTCAGTTAGTTCCCAAGAATTATTTCTTTCAATGGTTGCAATTTCTTCATCCATGGCCTTCCTCCATTTGGACTCAAGAACGGCATCTCTAAAAGCTACAGGATCA